ACCCTCATGTCGTTCCAAACCCGTAAGACCTTTGTTCATCTTCGGAACACAAATTAAGATATTTTTGATGGAATCCAAGAGCTTTCTGACCCTGCTTGGACAGCAACGCAACTACCACGTTCAAGGCCCAGAAAGGTAGTAAAGACATCATTAAAATAGTCCATGTGACATAAGTGGTTCACCTGTAATTTTATGAAGCTATGAGAATACTTTTTGTGCACAAAGAAAACAAGTCTTCATGTCTTCGACGCGCGTTCACAACAGTACCATAATACATGTGAGTGCATTCCTCTGTTTGTAAACAAGGCGCAGTGCATTCGGGTTCCACGTCATGCACCACACGCATGCATGCTACTGTCCTGAGCACACGTCAAAGACTGACAGGAAACTCAGAAGAAACTGTTGAATAAATGTGTCATTTTTGTTTTCTTTTCGCACAAAAAGTATTCTCGTAGCTTCATAAAATTATGGTTGAACCACTGATGTCACATGGAATAGTTTAACGATGTCCTTACTACCTTTCTAGGCCTTGAACATGGTGGTTGCGTTGTCTATGCAGGGTCAGAAAGCTCTTGGATTTCATTGCTGACAACATTGATTGTCCTCTATTTGTTTTTCTTCTCTAGTCAATTTGATCTTGCGAATGTCTGTGAGATCATGTGTCACGGTGAAATCGTTCCTACAATCGACAAGTGTGTGGTCTCGCGATCTGCTCGAATCGTCTAGTGTGTGCGTTCAGAGATTATAAGGCTAAAAATCGGTTGAACTGTCTTCATGTCTGTGGTCTCCCATGGTTTTAAAATCGTTTAAGATTTGAAAATCGTCTAGTGTGTCCCAGGCCTAAAGCTGCAGTCTGTAAGTTTTGCCTCTTTGTTGCCATCTCTGTTTGAAAACCTGCAATTGCAGCTATTTGCGGAATTATCGTCTTTGCGTGGGTTGTGCACCGGCATTGCTCCAGCGCGGATGAATCTAATGATTTGAGGTGTATGTGTGGCTGTCAGTCACCACACCGGTGTGGTTGTACTGTACTTAGGAATCACAGATTCTAGCCTACGTCTTAGTTTATTAACAACTTAATACTGTTTAATACCTACCCAAATTAGAATTTTCACCGGATATTGTCATCTGAACAAGTAACAAGTCTGCCACTTTTGTTCTGACCAACTGAGGAAAAAAACATTACAATAAATCGCACTACCAATGGCGATTAAATCTAATGATCACTTAGCTCATATCACATCAAACCGTGCAAATTATTATTATTGTTATACTTTTTTTCTCAAATTGTTAATGTTAACAACATGAGCATTGTGTGTATGTAGTGTGTATTAGCGTTACATGAAGATTTCAATTTCTGTACAGTCTAATTTCTAATTGTCATACCATTCAAATTTCATATTAAGAAATTCTTTTAATCCAAAAAGCAAATTGTTCTTTCTTTGAACTGTTCCTTTTTAAAATACAAAAACGTGTGTAATCCTATGTAAGCTATCTGTAATCAGATGCACATTTAAAATAATTTAAGTCACATGTATTTCATAAAGACATAATCCTTTCTGGATTACAATTCGCCATCAAAATAATAAGTGTAATTATTCCAGCTGCTGTGAGAAAAGGCTATAAACGATCCGCCACCTGCCACATCCTCACATCCCATAGCCTATTAGCCGGGATGCCTTATTTATGTTTACAGATGTGACGTAATGACGCAGTGGCGTGCTTGAATTTCCCGCGAAATTCCTACCAGTACCACTCAAATTAGGAAACATTATTATAAGCTAACCGTTGTGAATCGGGCTAAAGTAAGGTGATAGTTTTGAACACTGGCTGATTATGTACTTGCTCAATTATTGATTTCGGATCATTTTTAACCAAAAAAAGTTATGGACTGCATCTTTAATTTGTGTTCTGTAGATGAACAAAGGTCTTACGGGTTTGGAACAATATAAGGGTGAGTAATTAATGACAGAATTTTAATTTTTTATTACATTTTGAATGAATAATTTCATTCCACTCCCCAATAATTTCATTCCATCCCATTCCACTGATTTCACAATGATGTGAAATCAGTGTATCAATACAATGAATTCAGGTACTATCAAGAGCCTTGATCCACTACACACTGGGACACTGGTGACTTTTTCACCATTGGTGAATATTGTGAACAGCTATGCTTTTTTCTGTTGCATCAGGGGAAATTCTAGGGAGTGACTGAGACATAGCCATTGTGATCTTTAAAGATCACTGAATACCTTAACCAATATGGTTTAAAAAAAAGATTAATTTATTTATATTATATACATTTCAAGACATCTAAATACTTAGATG